TGCTACTATTAGCGAACCATCTCTTTCCTCGCTAGACTAGAGTTGACATGCCTGACTCTATGAAGATGTGTCGAGTACGCGATTTTTAAGTTTGCCAAATGGCACGATAATTCGGCCCTCACGTAAGTATTTTGGTGTGACAGTAGGACTGAGAGTCAGGCACGTTCAGCGATGTGAGGCGCTAGTAGCAATTATTGTAGTCCGATGTATTTTGTGTAGACTAGGTCATGCATGGTATGCGTAGACGGCCCAGTGAACAGCCGCCTACTCCCGATTGTCTTTATAATAGGAAAGCATGGAGGCAATGCTGATGCGGGAAGAAAGGGTGCAGTAGATGCCACACACGTCTGGCCCATTATAATCTAATCCACCCACCTGGCAGGGGATGTGAGGGACGCTGTGACCTACTAAAGTTGAACTTTAACCCGAGACGTAGTTTTTAAGTGGGGTATTGACATCTGTGACCATAAAGCAGCGTTCTTGAGAAAGGCTAAATTATGTGTTTGGAAGCACACAACTCGCTAGTATTCACCAGTGATGTGCGAATTGTCTGTATGACAACTATTTGCAGATGGAATTCAAGGGTAATTTCTCGAGTGAACTTATTAATTCACCTTTTATCTTCAATCAACGCCCTGGCAGAGTAGACTTGTAGGACAGATTTCCTGTGTAAAGGAAAACCTGTACGCCTATGGACGAAAGAGCGGATGTGCAAACAGTGAATTAGAACTAATTTACTCTGACGATGGCTTCTGGTGTGGAGCCGAAAGCTCAGAATAAACCTATCGTTCCAGAGATCGCGTCTTCCTCTTCTTTCGAACTAGAACCACTTGCGGCAAATATTTCAGAGCCTTCCTATTAGAAAGGCGGAAGCTGAGAATGGTTTTGAATCAAGAGCAGAACAATAGTCGTGTTTGCAAAATGAAATCTCCGAGATTAGACCTGGAGAAAGAAAGTAGAATTTGGTTTACGACTATCGAGAGATCGATCGAGTCGAGGCAATCGAGTCGCCTTCTTCTCAATCATTAACTTATTTAGGAAATGGATTCAGTAAGTTCATCTTGAAATTAGAGATAGGTAAACAGCAAAATTTGAATTTATCAACAAAAGACAGTGTACTTATTTTCCTCACCAGTTCACTTGTAGTGCAGTTGATAATGCCCCGGGACTTCTGAACCTTTATAAATACTTCCGGTAAGACGCTTTTACGTGTTGATCGAAGTGAAGTAGAATCATAGGAATTCTGCGAATCCTGACCCATTAAACCGGACACAACCTCACTATTGCTGTAATCGAGGTCCGGGTCCTCACGTTCACTGCCATAGTAGTTTTTAAGTGTGGATGTACGATGATCCTTCTTTGGCAGTTCAACAGAGTTGTCAGTAACTTGGATGAAGAATCCACGGGCTTTGTTGTAAGCGACCCGAAGAGGGAGCTTGTATTCTTTTCCCAGACTGTTCACCAAACCTGAAAACGAAAACGCGGGTTTGTGATTTTTTACCTATCACCATAACTCTGAGTGAAGTCTTCAAGATCTTTCAGAATTTTGCAAAATTGCACGTTCGTTTCTGTTGCTCGACATAATCCATATCACAAACTTTCAGGTCGGATTGGGCGACTGCATTATTAAAATGCGTAAACGATATACCATCTTTCCGTCTTATAATACTACTTAATAATAGATTTTTCAAAGGCTCCACCTATCTTCCTTATATAAAATGCATTAACAATTTGAGACAAATGTTCACATTGCAGGTATGTGTATAGATCGAGAGGAGGAAGGTGCGTCGATCACATAAATCATAGTGTTATTCATCTGCGCTTTTTACCTCTTCCGGGAGTCCATCGTCAGATAAAAGCTTCAGCATTTATAAGGGCCAAGGGAAAGGAGAGGGATCAATTAACCACCAGTGTCGTCAGCCCGGAAATACCTGCGCAAGGCGACACATGCGGGCGCCAGCTCGATAGATCGGTTGACTGAGTTGTCATCCGAGGCCCAGGCTTCAATCAGTTCTCGGCCTGTCTTTCTACCAGCGTGGGCAATTATCCTCGCAGCTACGAAGTTGAACTCGTGACCCGTCTCATAGGTGTGGGCAGTCAATTGAGATTATTCGACGTAAACCTTTCGTGCAGTCAGCATATGTTCGTGCATGCGCGAACCAAGCATAGGTCCAGTCCGTTCTGTGTGATTTCAGGGGCAGTTTAGACATGATATGCGATACACTAATTCCGACTGCTGAGTTGGATTTAATCGGATCTTGATTCTTAAGACCCGGCTACACACGGTAGCCTTGAATGGTGTGCAATTCGGACGCCTAGTCCCGCGACAATGCGCTCAGTCGCTTCCGACACATCCTTGATGCATGGCAGCGCAAGCCATGTTGTAGGAGTTGGTCCTGGTTTGGTTTTCGGAGAGCGAGCACGTAGGCATCGGCTTGTGAAGGTCCTCGGATAGCCATTCCACATAAACTTGTCGCGGAGATATCGGACCTATCGTACTTTTTCTCCCGAGTTACTGCAGCGAGTCTGGATTCTTTTGAACAGCATTCTCACGCAGCTTCATTTGTGAGCCACCGGATAGTTGCTGTGAAAATTGAGAAGCTGTATGGTGTTTTTTCGCCTTCCTGTAGGCCGTTGGGAGGTCGCACGACGAGTACACCAAGGAAGGGTATCTGCTGATCCTTTTGTTCTGCCCTCCTGAAGTGTATATCTCGTAAGATCGAATTAAGAAAATCATGGAAATTCTGCAACGTGTTTCTTTTGACGATAACGAAAGTGCCGTCAACGTAACGGCGCCAAAAGATCGGCGGCTGTTGGGTAAAGGCAATCTTTTCCAACAATTCTGCTACTAAACCAGAGATTGAAGAACACATCGGAGTTCCCTTGATCTGCTCTTAGGTCTCTCCTGCAAAGGAGAATTATGTCTTTTAGCAAAAGTCGAACAGCCTCATGAGGTGTTCACATTTAAGTGAATAAACCCTTTCTGTTACTTCGAAGAAGACTGTAATTCTACCGTGTTAAAAATTATAGGGATAGATGCTCCTCAGTAGTCGTGCTTAAGAAGGCATGTTGGTCATCTACACACGCCAAGCGATGCTACGTTAAATTGATGGTGCGTTTTGGTGTTAAAGCGTAAGATCCGCCTAAATAAAAACAACCGCTTAGAGGCTGGTGCCTGATAATCGAATTTAATAACAACAGTTTGTTTATTATACAACGTATAAACTCTAAGAAACGAAGGCAAACAAACACCTATATGAAGTCGGGGAGTACGAATATTGATCGGTGAAAACGGTCACCACAAAATAGAAACTACGTGACCCAGTTATGTCTTTTAAAAAATTACAATCATTAAAGGGTACGCTTTTTAAATAATGAAGATCGTCTTGGAAAAGAAGCCCAAGATAGCGCTTACGGGAGATGTCTTCGATTTGTTCCGCATAAGTTCTGCGAGTGAGATCCAGCAGAACATTGGCTCCAGTTTTAATTGCAAAACATTTCTGCACTCGCATCTGCAGAACGCCCTTACTGATGCAGACATCTTTACGCAGAACACTTGTAAGCTTCTCTAGCAAGTCATTGTATCCGTTATTCGAAAGTATCTAGATATGAGCGAAAGTGAGAAGTTACACATTGTAAAAAAATAGAAATAGTATGATCGAACTTCATTTCAGTTAAAATGGGAAAAATTATATGTCATTATATCTAGAACATTTACTGTAATTGGACTCCGCGAAGGGATAGGAAAAATAATGCATTACGACAGACTGGGGAAACTTAGAATTTACAAAGGCACAAGTTACATGCTCGAATGGTGAATAGAACGACCCACTTCCAGAATCCACGGCGAGCATGCCATAACAGTCACGGCGGACCAGTCGTTGACCAGACAAGTAGATTCGTCTCACGAATTACGTGGACAGAATGCGAATTTTTTGCGCATTTAGTAGATAGTTCTCAGGATCCCAGGGGATAGAGAAATGAACGCAATTTTGCGAGCCCATCTCAGTGATGAAGTTAGAGGGTACCTGTTTTCCAGCTAAACAGTCATATTTTCAGAGCCTCTTGCACTCTAAATTGTTTGGAGTCAAGAGACTAAATATCCTGAACCAGCATTTCGGACTCGGTTCTTATCGTGAGCAGGTTATGAGTTATTCAGCCCAACCACATAAAAAAATACTAATTTTAATGTGCGCAAGCGCTATAACGCATATTTTCTGTCTGGGATGAAGATTTTGGTCGTTATAGACGGGGAATGCATGATTTGAATGTGTGCTACGGTGAATGCTCAAGCTTTTATGACAGATGCATAGCGACGACTGGTTCCCCAGGTGGATCAGAAAAGATTTAAATGGAAAGGTATGTTTTGCCTTTTAACAAAACCAGTACAGAAATTTGGCATTTTACCAGTCCTTAGACTGTAGCATGCCTTTCGTTTCCGACGTTTCAAATCTTTCAGATTAAGATTTGGGCTCCACGTGAGATGACTATGATAAAGTTTGCAGGTCCCCCGAACATAGAAAGCTGTGACTGATTGACAACAAGGATCTTTTGGAAAAAAGTCCCCTAATTCGCCTTTATATTTGTTAGTTAATCTTGCTGGTATTTTCGTTTCTTTGACTGTGCTTACGCTAGTATAGGCAGAGAGTATGTGTTGTAAGTCGTAATCGAAGCAACTCAAACCCCAGCAGGCCGTAAAATAAATGACTAGCAGCTCTGATTAGTAAGTAGTGCTTTTTCTTTGGCGCTACAGTAAAAATTAAATATTAATATAGTCTTTTTACCAACCTCTTTGTAGGTTTTGAGCAAGACGGAAGAGCTACCTCGAAGCGCATCATGCAAAGGCTTGACAAGATCTAGCATATGTTTGATTCCAATCAGCTTTGAAAGCCTAATTTCAGCATCTCTCTCGATTAAACGGCTGCCGGCGGATGATATGCTCGTTTCACTCGGTGTCTTCCATTTGTTGACAGATGAATTTTCTGTTTGTCCGACCTGTGTCGTTTTTTGCATATTGAAGCTGCTACATCCGTGGGTTGCTAAGGTTGCCTCGTTCGGCTGGATTTCAGAGGACGGAGTTAAATTGATATCCATATCGAGATCATCTCTGTCACAAGAACGAGTAACTGCCACACTACCAGTCGTCACCGAACGCTGCTTGGAGTCGGATAATTTTACGCACATTGATAACAGGCTATCAATCGGAGGAAGTTTGGAGAGGAGTGTCTACATGGAAAAAGACATGAAAAATTAGTCTTTTTCTCAAAAACTGGCGTCGATTATGCTGTATAAAACTAGAGTATAGGAAGCCTGCTTCTTAAAATCGAACTTTGCATGTTCGTGTGGCTTTTCATAAAAATAAATGTTCAGAACAGGAATCACGCTTATCGGTGCAGCACCGAACCCTCGCCTCAGCAGATAGACTATTCACAGATCACAAAAAGGTCCAAAACACTACGGGCTCAAGAGCATGTATTACGACCTTTTTGGTATTTTCTCAATTGCCTACATCACATTGAATTCTTATAAACTCTTAATTAACGCCTTAATATCTATTCGTAAAGGTACAACGTCCAATTGTCTTGAACAACAAGTAATCTGTCGTTTGAATACTTCAGCAACACTATGCAGTCAGTCAATGTTAGGGATTGAAGCGTCCGCGCAGACGACATCACTGAGCGGGCAACATCCAAATACGTCAGTCTGAACGCGCGCGATCTGGTGAGCCTGAACTTTCTCTGCCGTGGGCCCGAAAAAGGGCCTCAAGTTTGTCCATTTAAGGGAATTTGGCGTCGGGCATGGAAGCATACAAAAGCTCTACCAACATAAAAAGCTTGCTAAGAGGCAAATTAGTTTCCATTGATTGGCGAACAAATTTTCCCGTCGGAAACTCAGACATAGAATAAAGTCAGCCCAAAGATGACTCCTTCCTTCCTGGAGTGCGATATTTCATATATATATATATATATATATATATATATATA